GAAAATCCGTGACACTGATTGGTCCCAAAGTGGGTCAGTGTGAGCTAAAGCCGCCGACGGAGCAAATATTGACAATTCGAGACACCTCATTTCCTATTCCGAAGCGCAGTCTTAGGGCACTTTTGGGCCGCGCCGGATACTACAATAAATTCGTCAGGAATTTTGACCGTTTGGCGTCACCTTTGTACGATCTGTTAAGAACGAGGGACGCCAGAAGCTCAGCCAGCGTTTGACGACATCCAGGAAAAAAATGGGAAGGCAGGATCTTACGTTGTAACTGTTGGTCTCCGGAGAAATGAACACAGTGACCACAGACGCAAGTGACGTCGCAATCGATGCAATACTGGAGCAAAAACAGGGGACGATTGAATACGTCAGCAGGATTTTAATGCCATCGAAACGCAAGTGTTCGATAGTAGACTAGGAGTGTCTGACAATTGGTTGGGCGCGGGAGGAGTGGCGGGCGTACTTACTGGGTCAACGCTTCCACGTCGAAACAGAGCATAAACCATTGGAATGGATTAGGTCCTCCAAAGACCCCAGAGGCATATTGGCTCGGTGGGTGCTGCGCTTACAAGAATAAGACTTCACGATAAGCCACATATCAGGGAGGGACAACGGAACAGCAGAATTTGTATTGCGCCTGACGAGTGACGACGACTTGCCGAACGTTGGTTTCGGTGTCAGTGGTTTGGTGCTGGGGCAGGATCCGGGGAGGTTGGCAGCTGAGCAACGCAAGGATAGGCTCCTGAAGAGGCTGATAGCAGCACGAATGATGAACCAAATTGTGCGAACCAAAAGCCAAGGCAAACAATTCGGGCCGTTCGCGTGGGACCTGGAAAACCTGTAAGTCAGCGAAACAGGAATTCTGAGGTGGACACAAGGGCGAGGCGCTACTCCGGTGCCAGTGATCCCACCGAAGTTGCGGAAAAACTTGGTAGTCTCTTGTCACGAGATGGCGCATACCGGATGCACCAGAACATATGATTTTCCTAGGCAGCAAGCTTACTGGCCGGGTATGAAAAAAGACGTCGATACATACGTGCTGTCGTGTCAGCAGGGAGACAATCGAGGAATGCTGCAATCTGTTCTCGCGATTCCAGTGTCCTAGATTGATGAGTTGTGGTCAATCGACGTGAGGCGGCCGTTCCTGTTAATGAGACGGAAAAATCAATACATAATCGTGATGACTGAGCACTTCATCCGCTGGATGAACGCCGCGGAAATTCCGGATCAGCAGGCTAGCACTATAGCACATGCGGTGAGGAGGTAAGTGATAGCGGACCACGGAATTCCGATGGCTATACTGATGGACCAGGGCCCATGCTTTGAAAGTGACGAGTTCCGGACATGTCTGGAGAACCTGGGCATCAAGGAGATATATGAACCACTCCATACCGTCCTCAGACAAACTGATTGACAGAGAGGAATAATAGGACAATTAAAGAATGGCTGTTGGCGAAAGGAGGTTGGGAAGTAGCTCTACCACTACTGTTGCTAGCCCACCGGGCGTCCAAGCAGGCAAGCACGAGGCAATCCTCATTTCAGCTACTGTGCGGCAGCGCGCCCTGTATTCCTGTGGATCTAGTGGTGGGAATGTGGACGACCTGCCAGTTACTCCTGAGCGAAGCACGGAACAACCGGAAGGTAGCGAACCGAAATCTGAAGGCGGCCCAGGCGCTGCTGAGGGAAATCCCGAATCAACATGAAAAAAGCTTCCGCAGACTTTCTAATGGGTTCGAAGGTAAAGTGCAGAGATCACCAACGAGCGGCCGTATGTGGCTTAGGCGAGAGGAAATTCCTCCTGAAGTGAAAGCGCCCATATGACGTAATCGACCGTCGAGGCCCCGTATACCCGTATACATCGCTCGACCGGGAGGTAGACGGCGAGTTCACGCTAGCGAATTGCGAAGGTGATACGAGCGAGGATAGGAAAGTACTGCATATATGGGGCAGCTCCGAAGGTCGGAGATACTGCGTGCGAGGTCGACGGCCTCGGAGACTTTAGGGAGAGGAGTGTGGTGCACTACTAATGAGTAGTATGACGAAAAGAGTAGGCGTGATGAACTCAGCGGATAATGGATCACCGCGAACGACGGGAGTGTATTGCACGATGCAACTAGCTCTGAAACTGGATTGCATTAGGGTCTTGAACTTGTGCCTTATCGTCACGGCAAGCTGAGTCGGTAGAATAAGGAGCAGCGTAGAATCAAGTGGCCCCACAATTGATGTACGCAACTGAGTCAGACTGTTCTATTTTAGAAATCTTATACAATGTATACGTTCGCTCGCTAATCGATAACTCCTTCGCACCGTCACGCCTTCTCCACAATATGACCCGGAAACTTGGTGATCTTTCAGTTCCGCCAGTTTATTGAAAAGACACTGAGCATTCGTATTCAAACAGGCTATTTTTTCGGTCTCTAGAACCTCCCAGAGCTTTAAGGACGTCAGGCGTGGGAGAATGCCGACCGATGAGTGGTTGGCTGTTACTCATATTTTTGCTGCGTTACTGATACCTCGTCTGTAAGTTGATTCGACGAAGGCGCCTCACAGTCATTGTTTGAACCTGCGTCGGTGTCGAACATAGGAGAAGTCAGGTGAAGCTCCTGATGCTCGCCGGTACGTTTTCCATCTCAGACGCTTTGATAGCTGAAGTTTGCAGAGCTCCAGCAGTCTTTAATTGAATTTCAAAAGGGAGACTTCCGATTTCTAAGCCATCGATCCAAAACATCCGTTTCTGTTTGCTCTGACCGAACTACAACTCTTAGGATTCATGGGCCGCTTTTTCTATACTTTGAGCGATAGCGTCACAACATTTGCCGAGAAAATTGTTTTACGATTGAACCGCCACGATACTACATCGTGCTTTCCGGCCACTTGTATGAAGATTACTTTCAGCCGATCTAGCTTGTTGTTCCCATGTTTGATGTCTTTTTGTATTGCCGCACGCTCCAAGGGACATCAGGATAGATGCGTATTCCCCAGGATCCACGTTGCAGAGAACCTGCGTAGAATAAAACGTTTTCTAGATCAGTGGAGGATTCTAGTGTTGCTCGAATACGTCTGGGTTCTCCATAGTGTGCAGAGTTCGGGTGACGAGTAACCCTTATTAGTTTGTGGGTTTAGCTTTGAAGCTCAGCAGAACACACAATGAGTTCTACTGGTCTTCGTCATCCGACAGCTTTCCATGCAATGTGCTGTCAGTAGATTCGGAGACATTTGAGCACGCAACAGTCAGGGCACTATGTTTAACTCGCTTTTTCGTTGAGCTGCAAGGTCGGGTGATCATTGGTCCTGACATGCTACCAAGTATTGATTGTCTATTGTTTGTCTTTCTATTCACTGTGTTTACGACAGAAACGAACGCCAGTGCGGCCTGCCGGCTATATTTGCAGCAATATCTGCATATGTAATCGATATCCCGGAGGCCTTGGGTCGACAAGAGACACTTGAGCTGCAGGCGCAGAAGGCTGGTTTTCGGCTGCTTCGTCCTTGTTAGTGACAGCTGTCAGGTTTACTGAAATTTGTTTAACCAGACCATGCGTTTAGTGTTTGATTATTTTGCTATGAGTACTACTTGACTCCAGTAGCTACAGTCGATTTTCGTCTGGCTTTCTAACAAATTTGGAGGAGACAAAGGCGATGGGGACCTGGCTGATTGCGATCCAGAGGAAGAAAATTGTGCAGCCGTCCTTTACTTAGAGGTCACTGCGCTTCGTCGAAGCAGACCCGCTTTCAAAGATGTAATCTTATTATGCATCCGCGGCTCAACGTCTGCTGTTAACCGGTCGCACTTCTGGACTAGGGTAAGCACACAATTAACTACTGGGATGGTCGGGCACGCAGTACAGAACCAATTTTGCTTTCGTATCTGTTGCTGGGAAAAATTTACATACTTCGGATTATGCCAGTTGAAGCAATGTGAGCAGGCTTAACATAGTTTAGCTGAACGATGACATTCTGCTAACCCGCAGAAACGCTTCACCTGAGTCTTTTGGATTCGCATTTGATTGATCTCTGCCATTCAGTTTGGTGCCGTTACCTGACTCCGTGAGTTGGTTAATGTTCTGTTCTTTACCGGCTCTGATAGCGAGGCACATCGGTCAGGCGGGCGTTATAATTGCAACGGTCAACTGAGCGTTCGGCGTAGCTGCGCGGTCCGTGTGCTTGTTTTACAGGCGCACTGACTGGCAAAGTCACGACGAATGGCGGGTGCGTGGAATATCGATCATTTCCGATTGAATGCTGGGCGACCGGCAACCTATCGCAAACTGTAGGACCGTGCCAGCAAAAAGGATTAAAGAAGCACGATTTCCAGTTCGCCCAATTATGTTCGGAAGGCTTTTGGAAGGAATGTAAAAGTCCAAGACGTAATTGAAAACCGAGGTGTTTCTCGCGTGGATAGAAGCGACAAACCCGTTACAGACGCAGGAGTAACCAGGACGTTGAAGAGATAATAATAATCCAAAAATTTCTCACCTTGGAAAGCTGATAAATCCGAGTCGCAGGATCGTAAGCGCAAGGATGTGTAATAAGTTAATGATAGATATAACACAAAAAGCCAAGAGCGACGGATCTGATCTTCCTCATTGGTTAGATGACCATGCACACTTTGCATCATGGGTACCGACTGACTGCATGGTCATTGTGATGCATTCATTGTAGGTGAATGGATCGCGGCACGCAATCTCAAATTGGACCACGACGTGCATTGAGGTGAACTTTGGCCATATCGATCGCTGTGAACCTACCTGATGAAGCAAATAGATTATATTCTCCTAGGTGCAATCTCTTGTAGAAATGCTTATTCAACGAAGTAACAAGAACGCCATTTTCCTTGACACGGATATGGTCAACTGTTTTGCGCTATCATTTCTCTCCATTTAGGTCGGGAATTGTGAAACAGCGGTACAACGGAAACGAAGTATGCAAAGGGACTAAGCCTCCTTGAAAGCCCAATGCACGATGAGTACTTACATGTCTACCAATGAACTTACTTTGTCGCACATTTCGTCACTGAGGATTCCGAAGAAACTCACGCCTCTTTCCACCAGTCTAACTGATAGGCTACACATGAGAGAGAGAGAGAGAGAGTAAAAGGTTGTTAACAGAAAACACGCAGTCCCACAGGCTCATAAGCTATGCATTCTGCTCCTTTAACGAGGATAGACTAATAATCCATATAACATATTGCCTGGCATAAAAGGCGAAAAACATACACTTGTCATTGTCAATCTGCATGACGACCTCATACAGATGTGCTTCAACGAAATAAGTACCGAGAAGATTATTGAGAACACAGATAGATCCAATTTATATGCAAGAAGGCCATTTAAATCTTCTGCCCAGTGGCCATTAGATTCAATGCCAGCAACAGCTTGCAATGGATCGTTTATTATCTGAGTCGAACCTATGCATACCTACATATCTCGGTCTTAAGCTTTAGTGGATACCATAGTTGCGAATGATGCGAAACGCTGACGTCAGAACAGAGGATAGTTTGTAAACTAAGGGTGACTGCTTAATGCTTGTAGCTTCTACTGACTGTAAACAAGTATCGCGCGTTCCAAGAGATCAAGGAGAATGCTTATCCGTGTATAACGAATCACTCAGTCTCACCAAGATCAGGTCACCAATGAGTTACTCTTCACAACCCCCGAAAAATCCAGCTGCAACGTTATACAATCATGAAAGCTCACCGGATTCTGAAAGAAACATCCAAACAGCAGTAGGCCTTACTGATACGTTGCCCACCCATACATAAGGCAGGCCAATCTCTAATTTCTTCACTGACACAACGATACAGCTTCCGCAGGCATTAGCATCTTTATTGTTATCTTACTGATGAACCAGACCGTGCGCCAATTCTGTACGGCTTCTGGCCGCTAATACACATACTTTTTTGCACCCAGAGACTACGCACTCAGTCCCTCCATTGTACCGTATAGAAAACCATACCTAAAACCAGGGTGTTGCAGTCATTGATCTGGATCGGATTCCCGCATTGGGATTCGCGTTTCGGAACAAATTCAGAGTTATCCAGTGTGACGATTTACTTGTGCTTTTGTACTCCTGGCACACTGCCTTCTGTTTGTCCAAACGCATTTGCTGTTTCTTTCATGCTTGACTGTCATTTGTAGGGTCACTTACTGGTGAGAATGCGGGGACTTGCCCGAAATGACCTTGGTCGCCACCCGAATGTTTGCGTTCCTTATCTCGTGGATGTCAACTGACCATTGTTGCAAACGCTATTCACGGTTCTCATAAGAAGAATTGTCAAGGCGAGCTTTGGTTGGACAGTAGCCACACACACATCCGCAAAAGTTCTTGTCAGTCATTTCACCTTACCAAGGCTCGAACCCATGATACCCCACAAGGTAGCCATTTGGACTAATGGAACGACGGTATGTACATAGGTTACTCCTGTCTAGCTGAAAATAGTAGGTTGAGAGACTCAACCAAGTATTGTGTAAGTGAATTTTAGGAATTGTTCTGAAGCAACCCAGAAACTCATGTTACTAGTGGGAAAAGTAGGCCAGTTCAATACACGCCAAGCACCCAAAATCTACTACGAAGGCAACGAATAGACGGTGGTTTAATCCATTGGGTGCAAGATAACCCTTCAGTGCAATTCACTTCAATTGATCGACTACGGTCCGGGCACAGGAATGCGCTGGATCTGATTGCCACGACTCACCTAGTCAGAATAGCATTAAATAACAACAGTAAGAAAATGAGGTTGTATGCAAATAGAATGCATACCAGGTGAAATGCAGAAGAAAGTACGTTAAACTTATCAGGATGGAATGAAAATTAACAGTTAAGTGCAAGCTAACGATTGCAGGAATACCACTGCCTGAGTGATTACTCTATGTCTGATAGGGTCTTCAACCGCTGGTTTGGAGCATTCTGGTGTCGCCATCTACGAAGACGGCAAGTACAAACCTGACTAAATCTCTCAGTCAGTTTCTTCATGCTTCTAAGACGCGTCATGGACTGGCCACCTCGGGGTTTCGCCCAATTTGCTGCAGTGACGGCGTATAACGTACACCGAGGATGCCGATCAAGTGGCAAACGGCAGACATAAGCTAGCCAACGTAAGCGGTTAGGAATCGGCAAACACCCGAGTGAGACGCCATCAGGCCACTTATCTAAAACTCATGGCGACCGCAATTCCCTTCTGCGTCCGCAGATGTAGCAATACGTGCTCTGACTTCAGCGGTCATGCGCATACTGTTACTGATGCAGTTGCCAAGCTAAATGAATAGATCAACTATGTCGGAGGTGTTCAATATGCAGAGGTCTGGTTCCATAAGTGGTAGATGAAGAACGTCTAAGTTATGAAACGACGGTCAAGTTAGAGAGGCGGTCAGGATTTGAATGTAGTCAACTTCGAAATCTTTCCTGTAATTGTTTTCGAACAAAAGGGGCACGTTTTAGCCAGCTTATCGTCACGACCTAGGTACACCGCAAGAAGCGCGAATGGTAGTTACGAAGTATAAGCCAAAAAGCCGAACCTGTGTTATGTTTACGACGGGACAGCAAGAGGTGCCTGCTTATTGATGACGCCGGCAGCTTACGTGGGCATATTGCACGGCAGTTTGTCGACGTCACCTTGAACGCAGTTGGGCAGTTGTTCCCGCATTATGGAATCCAACACCCTGTCGGTTCTGTTTATGCGGCCTACTCCGTAGTCAGACTAAAATTAGTAAAAGCAGTGTTCTTTGACACTAATGAGTGCACTGATGAGTATGAGGATTGTTACTGGCATTTTACTGGTTCATCCCAGCTACTCGCAAGCCACATTAGTCGAGTTCCAATACGGAAAACCACCACCCGATCGTTTCGCCCATTGGTGCTCGTCGGGAGTGCGCAATTCCTCGGTCACCTGCTGGTGATTGAAGCCATGACCGCTAGTAGCTTATGCTAACTAGACAGCAGTATATGCCACCGAGCCATAGGAGGCGGAGGCAACCCACCTGAGCTTTCAAGCTCACTGTGATATACCGCAACCTATCCCCCACTACCATGCAGATTCCTATAATTGCAGAAGACAGTGGTTGGCCTCCGATGTTACGATTTATACTACACAACAGCTATGTTTGCATAGCGTTTGCATAGTGGGAGAACGAATGTTAGATTACTGACGAGTAGGAGGACACTTAATGGTATTTTATTAGTTCTTCCCAGCTGCTCACAAGGTAATCAGTCATTAGCCGTGGTGTCACTCGTGGCTCACCACGAATCAGTGGCCGAGGGGTAAAGGTTTCGGATGACCTCACCCAAAAGCCCGGAGTTCGGGTACCCGCTATCTCTACCTGGTGAGGTCAAAAAATTGGAAACCAATCGTCACGACACCAAAGGAACGAATGGGATTTATCCTCGCATCTTGTGTGCAAGCAAAAGTGACAGTTCACACAGATTGCATGTCAAAAACCTCATGTACTGGGACAAAGTAGATTACTTCCTGGACTACTGTCACCAGAACTCACTTTGACTGTTTCCACACGTCATGGACATCCACGGTGCCACACTTTCGACGGCGTTCCATATACTTCGAAGCTGCCTTAAAATGTAAAAAATACAATACAGTCATACACATTACAATGAAGTCTTATCAATTTCTAATCTTGCTGTGCTTCCGCCGTCTTATGTCTAGTGCAATGTTCCAATACTGAGAAAACTGATTTTCCAGCTGCCTACAAATAAGCGGCTATTAAATGGAGTTCATCCTTTGAAGCTGCGAACTGGGCACTAGTTACTTCGCTTCTCTCCTCTACAACTGTGCGTGTACATTTTAAATCATTTTCATGTACTAGCTTCGGTTAGATTGCATTATTATGTCCAAGTTCATCATACCCCTAATAGAGCTTTTCCATCGTGGTATTTGTTTCCCCGTTTTTGCTGAGATGCACGACAACAACCGTGGGCAGCCTAAACTCGACTGAGCACCTGAGCATTAAGCAGGTAAACCGAAGGCAACTACGATTGGGCTAACTTAAACCCCTCTCCAACCAACCTGATTGGTATTTTTGTTCGTCGCAATCAGCCGATAATTCGGATAAGTCAACTACCTATCCGGAAAGCACCAAACGGCCGTTTTGCCCTATTGGGGCTCGTCAGTGGGGCGCATCCTTCGGTCCTCCACGGAGGATCGAACCCACGACTGCTAGTGCCTTGTGCCAACTAGCCCGCAGCTTATGCAACTGCGCCATTGAGGACGGTAGCCGACCAGCATGAATTGTTAGCTAACTGCGATATGGCCCGACCCATCCTCCACTGCCATGCGGATGACAGCGGTTAGCCTTCCGGCGTCTGGACTTCTCGTTTACGGTAGCTATGAGTCGACACAGCATTTATGGAATCCGTAAGGGCGAAGTTGTATTACTTATGAGTAGAAGGATTTTGGTGAGTATTTTTGTTCGTCGCAATCAGCCGACAATTCGATCCTCCGTAGAGGGCCGAAGGATGCGCACCACTGACGGGCCCCAATAGGGCGAAACTGCCGTCTGGTGCTTTTCCAGATAGATAGTTGACTTATCCGAATTGTCGGCTGATTGCGACGAACAAAAATACTCACCGAAATCCTTCTACTCATAAGCCACCTGATTGGTGTTTATGATTCGGCTACTGCAACACTTACAGCCCCAATGGTTTTGAGCTAACACCTTATTTGGGCACCCACTCTACTAAATACCATTCATTAGCGTCGAGTAGCAGTTTTCAGTATCCACAATAACATTGCTACAAGATGGCTCTTCAGTACATCCAAACAGATCTTAAAGCCGGGCTTGTGGCTTCTGCCTCGACTCATAATAACCATGTTGCCAAGTCAACCGAAGCATCCCGATGATTCTATCCCATACTCATGGACGCGTAATGTTACCCATGTTAACTTTAGAAAGATTTCTGCAGTTAGTTTAAGCATTGTTAAGGTGCACAGATACACGGGTGATCAGCTGCTTAACGTGGACGCAGAAATACAGGAATCAAGTCAAAAAGAAAGAAAGTCACCGGCCACAGTCACCCGAAGGACTAGAAACCGCTTTTTCGGGTGGACACAACTTTCTTTCTCATATCCAAGTTGCCACAAACATGCACCTAGCAATCGCGGACACAGGGTCAATCCCTGCCAATTACCATGGGTTAATGAAATTCCAGAGTCCCAAGTGAACGGGCCAGTCGTCTTAAGCCCTAACCCATGTGTTGCTCTCTAGCCTTCTCAACGAAGGGTAACCAAGAACGTCAGGGGCCTCTTTCATCTATCGTATCAGTTTAGACTGTAATCGCTAAGAATTTGCAGCAGTCGATATCGGCTTTTGTGGGGAGATCTCATAATGGTTTACCAGATTCTGAAGAACCAGAGTCACGTTTGCCGACCGCTTGCTGGAATTGTACCACAATACTAACCTAAGGGGTTATTTTCTGAAACTGACAATACAGTATAACCGGCTTGAATACTGCAGAAATTTCTTTTCCTTCCGCGTCTGCCAGCCTTGGAAAGCCCTGCCTAATTATTTCGTCTCTGCCTCCAATCTGGCGGTATTTAAATAACTAGTTAACCATGCATTGTCTCAGTTACATTGCATTTTATGACTTGTTAGCCAGGGGCTATATAACGCAATCAAACGGTGTCTTGCCAAACTCCCAACCAATGGATATATGGATGTATACGTTTAATACGCGAACATCTCCGCTATTCTACATAAGTCTATGGTGAGTTTACCAAAACGCTTTTCACTTTATCATGCAATTCACTTTTCTCAATAATTTCCATCCCACGGAACTTGTTAAGCAATGCTTTTTTACCAGTAATAAACCATTGTTTCATTGTTCGGATAAATCCCGTGGCTTTCCTTCCTGGCGCTATACACTCATTTTGATAGGGATTACAAGGGCATACTACCTTCGGTTGGAGATAACTTCGTTGTCAACCACTAGAAAATGTACCGGAAGAATTTAAGGGGCACTTTGTAACACTTTGTGATTGCCACTTTTCCTGAACTACTGTTTCTCACTAACTCTGATCCACAACATTAAGCAGCGGGGCCGCTGCTATATCCAAGCTAGCAGGTACCAGTTGGCGGATAAATGATCAATCTCTCTTAATCACGCTTATGTTATGAGTTCAGTTTGAAGGAGATGAAGGCGTCTACGCTCAATTTTAACAGATCACTATCGCAGAAAGGAACCAGCTCCCACTGAACCCTTCGAAGTGCCAGCTGCTGACGATGTCTAGCATCTTCAGCACCACATCATTTTAGGCAACACGTGACGAACGAACGGGGAGTTTTGTATCATCCTACACGAATGTCTTGGCAACTCACTCCAATGTTCGAAAGCAACAAAGCTGGCGAACTTGTACTTTCGACTTTTGAGGCGAACTCTTAACATCTTCCAACGACGGCTAGTACCACTGTTGCTTAAATGGTAGATACGTCAGCACGATGAATAAGCAGTTCAGGCCCGTTTTCCATGGTTACAACGAGACATTTGCCTATCGGAACAACCCCAAAGAGGAGCCACAAAGGCAGCGCGTGAGCTATCCGGTCTCAGTTACGAAGTACGGCTTCGCTCACTTGGTGTGTTCTCTTCAGAATACCGACGGCTTCGCGGAGAGTTCATCCGCCTATACCGGATCCTAACTGAGCGCAAGCACTCATGTACGTCACTGCTGACACTAGATCCTTACAAACAATGTCGAGGCAAGCACCTGAAACTAATGGCGCAACAATCCAGTTGGAATTGTAGAAGTATTTTTAATCACTTACAAGCTGCTTCCACTGGAATGTATTATTAACATATTTGCTGACCGCACTAGATATCAGTATATTCGAAAGACAAGTAGAGTTTCATCTTAACGATAAATGCCACACAACAGTTTGCTAAAGTGCAATGGTTGAACTACTGATACTTTACTTTCCACGTTGGAACATTCGGGGTTAATTTTATTTGAGTATTCATCCTGTGGCTTTTCAACCCATCATTCATTACTGAACTATTGAATTGGGCAAATAGTTGCGTTCTCTTTGAAGAAACCGCCAAGCAACTTATTGATCATTTTGGGAGACTGTGAATATCTTAGTAAAAGTTAGTACATTTGTCACACGTTTCAGACAACGAAGGCAGGTATTTCTCCGGAATATACAGACCATCTTAACGAATAACAGTTGGGTAAGCTCAGAGTCACGCTAGTCTTAGTGCAAAGTTGTCACTCACCTTGGAACCCTCACCAGTGGAAATACTTCCCCTCTGTTTGGTGCTGGCTGGCCTCAGCTGCTCTAGGGCCTTTCTTATGGAAGCGTCCGAGAGCTGGAGTGTGTCAACGTCCGCTACAACAGGAGACATGACACAAATCAGTCCGTATTACAGTGCCACAACCTTTTTTACAACTGAGCCAAACGAAAAAACAGAAGTTTCCAACTGTGTTAACATTATCCGGATCTACTTTTCAGACTGTGATATCAGAGCGGGGGAAGTGTTGTTAGCTGTAAAGGAGCACACACCCGAAGACAGCTGATTGGCTATTACCATGTATCCACTCCCATGCGTTGAAATTAAAGCAGTACCTGTTATATAGACTTATTTCTTTAATTTCACTGTAAATGATGTGGAGTCTAACCCCACTGACTTACGTATTTCCACCAGCGTGTCTTCCGCTTCCAACGGATCCAAGCCCGTCTTTTCTTCTTCGGTGAGGTTTGAGTGTAGAACATCCTAGTGTAAAATACGCGGAAGAACAGGCATTTCTTACAGTCGAATGATACAAGATATTATTAAAATATATATGACGTCTAAGACCACCGAAGTCGTCTATTAAATCCAATTAGAACAAGCATTGGAGGATCCGCTGTATGGGCCGTGGTGATGAGACATCTCCGCTTAAACTTTGGTCCACCTTTTCGAAGCGCGCCTCGATATACATGAATTATCGGTGTTGCCAGCTTGCGAAGTTGTCCCCGGTCAGAACTTATCTGACAGTTCATGACGCGCTGCAACATCCAACCTTCAGTCTATGCTTTGTCAAGTCAGAAACAATTCTTTACTTGCCTGTGAGTTGAAGTTTGTAGACAACACAGAAGCTGTGCGAAAGTGGAGTACAAATGCTTTCGGCGCCCAAACGTCGTTTCTGTACTTGAAGTGAAGTGGGTGTCATTGTCATCTGCTCTCACCATATGGAAAATACTAGGGTACTGGTTAGCCGTCTATTATCTGATCACCCTAGGCGAGGCGCACAAACTGGAAGGTGTTCAGCAAGTCGCTACTAACCTCTTCCTCAGTGTGACAGCTGTCATACCAAGATCCATGCAAGTGCCTATGGGACTATGCATCCCGGTGTTTTGTCGGCTTTTATTGGACCTCATAATGACGTAGTGGATAGTATAGCTGGCTGATTGCACTACGCTGAGAACGTTCCGCGCATCCAGTAGCCCTCGCGGGCCCCGGTATCGGATCGGAAGCGGAGAGCTCATCCTCTATGCTTCCTATGTCAAGCAGCGAAGAATTGGAACAGTTGGCCTGAGGCAATAGTCGGGCGAACTCGGTGTCGGAATTAAAGAAATTCCTGTGTGTCCACTTTGCGGATTATAGCTTTCGAGAGGATATTGCGACTGAACAAGACGCTGCATAGCCTAATTGCCTTAACACTGCACGATAATGAATACTATAATTTCGAAGGAGTTTCTAGCCCCATAGCATCATTATTCAGTAGTCTTTACGTACGTGTGTGACGTTGAAGGCTCTTTCGGTATCTGTGCCTACTTGCGTTTTGGCTATACTAAAAGCCAACTAAACATCAGAACGGCTCGGTATAGATAGCCTGTGTTTCGCGTCGTGAAGTAGCTCAGTGTACTCCGCTGTTCATCGTAGAGTCTATAACCATCGCGTGCACGGGGGGTATAGAAACGAATAACGGGTCTCTTATGTGTACCGACTAAAGTGGATTCCTTATAGCACTTGTGGTTATAGGATAGATTTGTGGTAGCAAAAGAGACGGCTATGTAAAATACCCGTTTTTTACTTGTATCGAACCGTTGATTCATTAGTTCAGATGTGCTGTAATCTTCCGTAGCTGTTGTAGTGGTCTCAAGCAGATATTATCAGTGGCTTAGTTAACCGCAAAGTGAACAGCTCACATCGATATGTACTTCAAACACTTTTAAACGAAGTGCCATAACACGGTAAAAGTCAGACCATTCGTTTTCGTTAAAAATGTGACGAATTTATCACCACTCACCTCTCGCGCTAGTGTGGCAGTCCCTAGTCCAAAAAGAATAAATTTGGAATTATTTAGCTTTTTTGATAAATGGTCGATCCTCAACTCGGCGAAAACACACATTTAGCATCCCGCTTTGTCAAAGTGGAACAGAGATAAACACAAAAAGATACCGTCCCAACGAGTATACCTGGGGTGTCCAAGTCATGCATCCGTTTCGCTGGTTCACCTAGATCTAAACACACCCGGCTGAACACCTACAAGTTGGAGGAACCAATAGTGAAGAAGGAGTATCAAACAAAGCATCGTAAAATTCTCGCTCTCTCTTCCACTCTGGATGTTGATCAACACTAGTCAAGTCTGCAACAAGTCATGCTGTCGGCCGGTTTGTCTAGCTGTCTCCTCGCTCGTTTCACACCCAAAAGATGCATCTCGGAAAGTTTCTCGGAATTGCTGGATCGCAGACGGGCGATGCCTGCTGGCACAGTGCATGACGTACACCGCCGGTCTATTACGTAACAGCGGAAAGCAGGCCTTTGCTCTGGTAGTGAATCCTGGTGGTCAAACGAGCTGATGACTTGGTATGCGATATATCAGTTGACAAATTCCGCCGTCTGTTTTGCATCACCAGGGCCACCGGTTGCAATTCCTACGCTATCAGCCAGACAATTTGCGAATCAAACGGCACGAAGATCACCAACTTTCACAGGCGATTGGGTCGCTAGGCAAAACTTTTCGCTCTTCAATTAAACCACCAAACACAGCTCCTGTGACACCTCCAGCCCCCATAAATGATACTTGGCCTGTCTCCACAGCCCCCCACCAAATGAAGCAGAGATCCCAATTGTAATCCAGTCTTTGCAAAGCCATGAGGCTCCAGGTCCCGACAATCCACCTCAGCTCTATTCAAAGATGACGGGAGTGTACTTGTCAGCGAAATCCCATCGTTGTTTACGAAAGTTTGGACTGAGGAGAAGGTTCCCAACTCATGGGGAGAATCGGTCATCGTTCCGATTCACAAGAAATACTCCCGCGCCGATTGCTGCAACTACCGCGGAATATCGTTAATCTATGTCTCATCCAAAATCTTTGTGTCGGTCCTACTTCACAGGCTTTCAACGACTAGAAAGGAGTTTTCCCGAGAAGAACAAACCGGATTTCGTACAGGTCGCGGCTGCATCGACCAAATCTTCACACCACCAACTCCAATGTCATCACATCCACCGGCGCCCAACAATCGTAGTGATTTTGGACATCTGAACGGCATTTGATTCAGTAGATAGATATGCGTTGTGAAACTGTTTAATGAAGAAAGGTGTGCCCGACAAGTTTGTACGCATCCTGAGATAACTTTACAGTTACACGTCGGGCAAAGTCAGGGTTTACGGTACGCTCACTTCTTCGTTTGCTGTGACCAGCGGTGTTCTCCAAGGTTACCTTATTTTACCTTTCCTCTTCAATTTCGCTATCGAAGATGTCTTCTAAGAAGCACTGGAAGGTGTCCAAAACGGCGGTGTTTGCTCCTCCCTGGGGACAGGGTAACGGACTTGGAGTACGCCGATGATATTAGCGGAGCATTCAGTTGCAGCCACTTGGTTGAGGCAGTTGTGTTCTTTAATACTTTGAGGAGTTAATACCGAACGACACTTTGAAACTGGTAATCAAACCTTCTGGCTTTACTTAGTTTGATTACTTGACTTCTTCAGAAATGCACAATAAGATGTATGCATGGAATTGTGGATTTTTTGCGAAAATGTGACCTACAATGGCATAGTATAGTAATGATTGCGCGGCCGACTGAGTTATGTAGACTCTAGTGTTAGGACATAAACTTGCCTTCTTGGAGTCACTAGTGAGGTGGCTCAATGAATCGAGTACAACAGCAAACCTGTTGCTTGCAAATGGGGTAGGAAACCCATGACTTCCGTATATTTTACAATCGCCGAAGGTTGATATCACTAAGCCTGTGAAATTGAATAACATGGGACCACACCTTGATGTGGTATACGTATACATACACAGACTTGGGTCTCTGCACAATAGTGAACCTTCTACTAGACCGGCATCATAACATGGTGAGCGAAAGCACAAGCTAACCACTTGACCTATTTTCTGCTGCGGTCTTAAAATTTATCTGTTTTTAGTTTTAAGAAATAGTGCAAAAACATTCAGATAAGTTTTGATTTTACAAATTTAGGTTATTGTAGGAAGTGTGAAGCTTTTTGTAAATGTCCTTTTTCAGGGCCTCAGTAATACATGATACAGGGAGATGGGATTTTAAAAGTATACATGCAACAGCATTTTCTAAGCAAGTACACAATGATTTGCGCATTTCCAGTGACCGTGTTTAATGTTTCCTTCAAAGATATAAGATAACAGGTAATAAATCAATCAAAAATTTTGTGTAGCGCATATATACACGATTTATGTGTTAGATGGTTTATGCGAGGTATGCTGCAGAGCAGGCTTCTTGCAATGCCAAATCACACACTGAACAGAGTTGGCCGCTTCTTCTTTGTTTTGGCATGGATTCCAAGTGGCGTCCATAGCAAGATCTCACAATCCTGTCCTCAAACTTTTGGCGTTTTCTGATGGATATAATAAGATTTGGTGGGGTACTGGTCTCTGTTACATCCCGCTGTAAGTAGACTTTCACGACATGTCGTTTGAAAAAAGCCCATCATGCTTCTCTTGCTCTTTTGAAGCTGATTTTCTGTACAGAAGCCAAGAATTATTCATGCAGCATCAGATAGAAAAGCAAATAGCGGCCACCACCACATTTTGCTGCGAAAGCTGATCTTCTGTCGAATGGCATTTTGATCCAATCGATCTACTCTTCCCATGGAAATGTTATACTTGATAACGATACCAAGTTGTTCAATAAGTATGGGCTTCTTGTCCTTCGTCGACCACCTCCTTCCTTTTTTCAGAGGATGTACACCAACAGAGTTACTGACTTGCTGAACAACCTCCTGGTGGTGCCAGCTGGGTGGTTCGAGATTTTCCCTTTCCAGAAAATGCTTCGGCGGCAGTGTTCCAGGAGGCGGTGCGTTTTCGCCTGGCAAGCGTTCTCCCTATAAAAAGCCACATATGTCGGTTTAACAACACTGTGACGCGGCGGACGTGACACACCACTAAATAATGTCACTGCGCCTTGCTTCCTCCTGGCGAAGCATTGTATTCCAGCAAGTTTATGCTGCAATTCTTGGGAGCTATGGGACCCTGTTTGACAAACGAAAGTCGTATGAACTGAGCAGTCACCGGCTCCCAATGGGCGCGAATTCCTGAAGTCGCTTTACTGTCTTGCGGGCAGGCTATTCAGCCGAAGGCTCGGGGTGGTGTCCCCTAAGTCAACACCCCAATTCGGCTTGGGCAACCGGGTAGTATCTCGCCCTCTGACGAAACGATGGACTTTGATGTTTTGTGTTTTCTTTTTCTATCTCTGTACCGTCTTTTGGATCTTATGGTTTCCGATGGCTTTATGTCTATTCGTATACCTTTGCAAATATATATATATATATGGTTACTGAATAGAGCCGCAACAGCATTATCATTACAAAACAAAACAAGCACACCATCTCGCCTGTCAGAACTGTAGTCATAAGTACCCCCATTTGGTCTTCCCAGAGTCTTCGTGTCAATGGAGCACTTAACCCTTCTGTTTGCTCGAACTGTCCACGTTGCTTTGATGTATTTTTCGGTTAAGGCTTTCATGAATAACAATTCTGTATAGAAATAGCCAAAGCAGATGTGACAAGACCGTCCCTTCGGGAGCTTATCCACAGGTCTCATAACAATGTCATATCCCCAACTTACTCCATTGTTATATTTGGTAGAGAACCAGCTAGGCAGCATAGCATAGAGGTGTCGCAATGATCCCCTGTTTCTACCCGAATCTAATAGGCTTTCTCCTGAGGCATTGCTTCAGTCCATGACGGCCGTAATATGATATCATGCTTTCATCCACGCATGGGGTAAATGTCATAATTATTTCTTTGAGATGGTCATAGAATAGTCGAACGTTTGTAAATTTACATCTGATTGGAGACTGTTATTGTTTACCAGATACAGGCACTTCATGATGATGTTAAATCTGTTCCGATCCATTGTACTAATGTTTGGTGCATTGTAAAGATCTTGATCAGGATTTCAGTACATGTGCCTTCGTAGTAATGAACTATATCCAGAGACAAATAGAATGGTTAAAAAAGCACAAATTTTGTCCTTGGTTATACCAAATGAGTGGTCACTTTTTGAACAAACGTCCTCAATTGTCCGCCTTATCATGTGGTCAGTATGTTAGCAATGGAGCGTTCAAATGACTTAAACGGTGTGATATCCTCCGCTAAGAAACCAGGTGCACATTCAGACCATTGCATCTGTGTCTGGCGTCCCAGACATAAGTCTTCTTTCCTCCATACTCTACGTCTGTCATTGTTTTGAGTTTTCATTTAAGAAGCAATTGTCGGAGCCGCATCTTCCTTTTGTAAACTTTTATTGATACATTCTGTTTTCTCCTCAGGTGGTCAACCCTCCATGTTAAGTGTAATTATACTGATCCATGAGGTTGTGCTAAGATGGCGTCAGCGTCATTGAATAACTGCTTCGCTGAGAGATCATCAGGTGAAACAGCATCATGAATCAAGTCAATGATGTCATCATCATCATCATCATCATCATCATCATCATCATCATCATCATCATCATCATCAGCGTTAGCATTTTGTTTATCACCCGAGGTGTAATCTGAATTTTGGATTCCCAGATAATGTTAGCTTCTTCTTTTAGAATGATAACCTCCTGCACAGACTACAGATTGAAGATCCCAGTTAAAGAAGAAAGATTTAACTAAATGTGATGGGGTTACGTACATACAAAAAAGAAATGACATTAAAGGAGAAATGCATGTTATAAAAATAAAGAATGTTTCACATTGTAATAATATATCCTTAACTTATCGGAATAGTTATAGTTAATGAACATATTTGCACACATGTTACCAGCCATGAAACTATCCCAAGCGACATGTAGCACGGCATTGCTTGTTGCTGTCATCCTTAAAAAAAGGACAGATAGTTGCAACACATAGATGCAATAGCTATCGTACGAGTTAACTAATTATA